ACGATTCTTTCTTCTCCGAAGAGTCCTTTACGACCTTTGAAGTACTGATTCTGAACGCTTCCGATTTCCAGAGCCATCATCCTCGCCCGGGCTTACTTCAGAAGACTTAAGAGACCGGTTGTTTCCCTTGTCTCTCCCGTTCAGTCGAAATCGTTAAATGTTCAGTAGGACAGAGTGGACGCTTTGGAACGCAGAAAGTTGGTCTTTGATGTATTCCAGGAGTTACAGCGCGGACTTTTACTTCCGGTACTTGTCGGAGATAAGGACTAGAACGTACTCTCGCTTGGGAAGCAGGTCGTGGATGGTCATTTTTCGGAGATAACATTTATCGGCCGAATAATCAGCTATTTTTGAGATGCTTCTTGTGTCATATCGAGAGGCGCAGTTAATACACTGTGAATTGTGTATTACTTTTGGATATAACCGATTAATCTAATAGAAGAACAGGTTCCCCACATGAAGGGCCCCAAAAAAGGCGACAATTTACAAGAACACTTCCGACCTGACTATTCTCGCTCCGTCATTTCGGGAGGAGTGGGAATGGGAAGTGGGAGGGCGCTTTGAATTCCCATGAATTGTTGGTCCAGCTGTGAGCTACACGGGAGCTTAATAAAGGCCCATCCGGAATGTTTCTTGGCGATACAGCTGAGTTAGTAGTGATCGCAAAAGTGTCAGTTCCAATTTAGACGCAACAAGGGACAAAAGTTGTTTCCGTCGTGCTCTTCTCCATTCCACAAAATTCCAATTAATTTTGTGTCTCGATTGAAAATTAATAGACCCTGAATCATGCCCACTTTGCTTGGGCTTATAGCCCCACCGGCTTAGGCAGTCACTTATAAAAGTTGTTGTGATGGATTATGTTTCTTCTGGGCCCACTTAATGCTCGATGATGTCGTCTCGGAAGGAAATCGAGCAATGGGATCAAAGAACTGGTTGATGGCTGCCATTGACATGTGGTGGCTGACAGATAACGCCACTCCCTAAACACTTCAATGTTGCCCGAGCACCATTGGCGGCTTCATGGCCATTTCTTTTGGTGGACTTTTGTTTTTCACTTCGACCAAGGGAGTATGTAGTCTAACAGCACTATTGTCGTTGAGCTAGGGCAGGTTTTTCCACTGTTTCGACACTCCTCCATTGTAAACTTCCTCACTTCCTAACTTCTCTCGGTACCTTTACTTACTACTTTACAATCCTTCGCCTTAGCTATAGCATTCTGTCCATTGGCTACCCTTTTAGTTTTCATGCAGGCTGAGAAACTTAGATAAAGACTGCCTTTCAAATGTATTTGGTAACGTTTCCGGTTCCAAAATGTTCCACACCTCAGTGGCCGTGCAGCCAGTGCTTTTTCCTTCCCCTTTCGCTTTTAGTTTTTTACATTTTTCCACTCCGGCTTTCTGCAGCGCTTTGCAGACTTCATGAAGAATATGCCTTTGCCATAAATTGTATGTTCTTTTTGTAGCTACATATTTCTTCGACTAGCCAGTAGTGAAAAGATAAAATCATGCGGCTGTTGCGCCAAATCCAATTTTCCCGCAGGTGTTTCCATTACCTTACTGTATCTTTGTAGTATTAAGTTATTTCCGAAGAGCCTTGACTGGCCAGTCCCTGGGATACTCATCTTGTAGACCTCGTACGATCGGAGAGGATTCTGAACCCGCAACCATTGAAATCTGGGACTTTTGGTCCAACCCGTTTAGCAGTTGTGTCACTCCACAAACGATAGCCCTCTATTTCTGTCTAACCGTGGTTTACATAGTTGATATTCCTATGAATACATACCAGTTCGTAATTTACAAATCACTGAGTATTCTAATTAAACCTGACCGCACTGCAACCGCACGCCCTTGTCCCATGTGCTGCGTCCTTTTGAGTCCTTGAGATTTTCCGAGACAACAAGGTGAAGGATAAGTCTGTTCTGTCAATCATTTTGAGCTATCGCGAATAATCACATGCCCATAAGTTTCCCCAGGAAGTACACAACTTGTTTCTCCCTCCCGATCTGTGATGTGTTGGCGGTCTAATTGTGAATGCATGAGACGTTTCCCCCATTACGCTTGGGCACCAAGTGAGCCTCCTGCTTTTTAGAGGATCACGTACGAAGTCTGTGGAACACCGTCTGGAACTCGTGCTCACAATCCACAAACGGCAATCCGATTTTCAATCAACTCAACAAGATGTCATCGACACCTACCGACACACCAAAACCATCGTCAGCAACGAAACAGTAAGTGCGCTCCAGTTCATTCCTAATGCTCTAATGATGATCTCGACCGCTCTGAGACATACTTGAGGAAGCTCGGGTAGCTGGTCCATCCTGAAACAGAGGTAGCATACACAGTAGAACTTTTACTGTGTTGACGGAGATCAGCTGCCAGTAACTGAGCTACTATGAACGAAGCTTCAGATAAGTTTTCTCGTGCTTATTGTCCTCGATTTCAGAAGCCCTCCAAGAAAGCGAGCAGTTTGCAAGAAGGTGTCATGGTCACGCTATGATTCAGTGAATATCTCCGGTCATTTGCTGATGCTTCCACGGCGATTCGCCAATTTGGAAATCATTGAAGCCGGTCCAAGCCGGACTGTCTGGTACGTACGCCACAACAACCCATTTGAAATGCCGTTTTGAAATAGTTTTTTCTAGCTCTGGTGCCGACTTGCTGACAGAAGAGAATGTAATTATCCGAAAGACTTTGCTCAAAGATCAAGAACAGACGGCCAAAGTCTACCACAATCTGAAATGGGGACGACTTTTGCCACACCCAAATGTGCGTTTGTTTGGGGTTCATAGTTGACATCACTTCGACTCCTCCATCTGGAGTCCAAATTCAGAGTAACTGGGCCCTAAATACTGTTCTTTCCAGATCCTATCAATTTTGGATGCCTTCGAAGCTGGAGACAGTCTGTACACCGTCACTGACATGATGGATGGACGTCTGGTCGACATAGTCGAGGAACATCTGAATCACTTTGTAATTGCGAAGATCGTCTATCAGCTATTGTCTGCCCTCGAACCATTGCACTCGAATGGACTTTATCACGGGGTAAGTGCTGTGCTTGGGAACAAAAGACACTGAAGTGAAGTCTGCCCAGCAGTGTGAGAAGCTTGCAGACCTCCGACGCGAGCGGTTGCGTAGCGGCTCCGTTGTTGCATGCTAAAATCGTCTTTCGATCATTTGAAAACACATAATGGGAGAAATGAAATTCGGCACCTATCACTCGTGTTTCTTACCCTGTGTGGCAGAGCGTATAATAAAGGATCTGTCCGCAACCGCGCGCTTCGGTGGCTGGAGAAAATCACGACTATTAGTCAGATCCTGTAAATGCAGTGAAGCATCATAGAAACTAGTAAAAGTTACTTTTTCAGAATATCACTCTTAATTCCGTCTTTATCAATACCGATGCTGTACTGAAACTTTCCTCCTATGGAGACGTCATGCAGTGTGCCAATGAAGAAAAAACAAAAGGTAAACTCGTCCATTCATTTTTTGAAAAATAGGTTAAACAAAATTAGGTGCAATGCAGAAAGAGAAAAATTTCCCCTGACCTTCTTGGATTGCGCCACGCAGTTCATATTTCTCATGAGAAGGGGATGGTTGAAAGGGTCTCGGATCAATATTGTGTCATTGGAAGTCGTCACATGGGAGAATTGATGATTCTGGTTCCATAAGTGAAATTTGTACAGAGGTTAAAAGCCAGAGCAAAAACAACAGCGGAGCGAAATACCTTTCTCCGATTGGGATTCCATCTTGCAGTTGTAGCGCTTCTGACCACTGAGCTAAACTCAACCATCAGTGGAAGACTTTCTCAGCATCTTTCACTTTTCTACGTCACTAGGTTTGTAAGTGGCGTCTAGACCACTGCATATTCTACCAGCTGACGTCGATTGCCTTATTAGAAATGGAATCGCAAAGTAGTTCTATATAAATAAGTATTTACTGGTAAATGGCTATTTTCAGAAGACATCATGTCTGTGGGTTCAATTCTGGCTCGTCTATTGCTGGAAGAGGAATCGTTTCTGAATCTGTCAAAAATAAAAAACTACAACGACCTTGATTGGCGAACAATCCTGCAGGGCAACACTGAATCGGGCCTAATCGGTAGGAATTACCCGGAGATTTTGAACTGCCAGTAATTTTTTTCGAATAAAAATTTCAATTTTCAGATTTCCATGCTCGTAACATCCTCTACCTGCTACTGGGAGCTCGATGCTCTTTGGCGGATCTACTCAGACATCCCTATCTGTTCACATTCCGAAAGAATGCCGGCAATGTGCCACTTATTGAAGCCGATCGTCGAGATCTGTCATCACTCAGCCTCAGTGACGTTCAAGGTGTGTTCGCCTCCTCGATAGGTCCTGTAGGGGAAACTGTCCTTACCTGGGATTTTCCCGTTTGAATGTGGTTCAAAACCTGAGAAAAAGAATGTTCTGTGCGAATTCTTCTGTATTTAATTCCTTTCGAAGGTTCCTCCTGTACGTTAGCCTTTCCAATCGTTTATTAGAGTTAAGATATAGAGCACTCGGCGTTGAATGACACTTTGGGATGCGCCATGCGCTCAAATATCAGTTGTGATCATCGTGGCGTTTGAATGCATATATGCCTTACACAGTATTCATGTTAAAAGCTAGATTAAGGGTATAAAGAGTTCTTATTTGCATAATCAAATCCACTACCAAATAATCGGTCCCTGGAGAAAGAAGCTTTGTTGTCAAGGGTGAAATTCGATCTGGGTTTGACGACTAGACCATGCATGTGACAGCGGCGCCCCTTACCTGTGCCCCTCCCGCCTACAGTGAAGTCCATTGCTGAAATTCATTCTGATACCGGCATAAGACGCTCTGTACAGTATTCTTTGAAGTCCACCCAATAAATCTTCTTCAGGACTACTCCGAGACGAGCTCAATCGATACGAGTCACCGATCTCCATTCAAGATGTGCAGTAGTGAATGAATTTGTTATGATTTTTCGAAAATAACGCCTAAATACGGGTATTTCAAATATGGTCATTATCGACGTCCTGTATGCTACTATGAAGTTGTTAATTTTACTGCGATTGCTTAATAAATATATAATTCCATTAGTACACTTTGAAACTGATGTCAGGGTTTGGCACCAACTTTATATATCATGTGTTCCCTATGCCCTTCAAGTCCTCATTTCGGAGATTGGAGAATGCACTACACATTTCGCTTCCATTCGAAATCGTGGAAGCGTTGCAGTGTGCCTGCGTTAGATTTTGTCAGTGCACAATCATTTACAAAGTCATCCAATATGTCAGGAGCTGCCTTCCGATTCCCTCTTCTCTGAACGCCCAGCTCCAAGTTGTTGTGAACTTTATTGATCAAGGATAGGGATACGATCTGGAGGTTTTACTTTCGAAAACGGCTTCTCCTGCTGTCCACGCAACTCATTCCTGCAGTGGATTCCATCTAACACAAGACTCTATCTAATGATGGCTGTTTTTCTGTGGAATCAACGAAGCAGCATGTCCTTCTGCTTGTTTGTAAGACGGAACGATTCAGTGAGCCCAAAGCTGCACTACCGATGAGCTCAGCTTCAAGGCTCCCAACAAACTTCAGCCAATCTGATAAGGGAGGGGGTTGAACAATATTCTACCTATCTATCAGAATGAGAGTAGCCATTTAGAGGTTACCTCCCTATTGCAAGTTATTTTACTGACTTGAGCCCTGAGTATTCCCAGAGGTTGTGTCACTCCTCTAGAAGACAAATTGGTCACCAGAGAGCTTGTTTAACACAGTGTTGTTTAACACAGTGTTTAACACCAGCTGCTTAGGGATTGCAGCAGTTGTGAGAAAAGCTCAATCAGACCAGCTGATTTTTTTAACCTGTCGGTGAATTTTAGTCGACTGTATTTCCTCGATGCTTTACTCTGACTTGCTTACTGTAGACTTAATAGCAAACGTCCTACACCGAGCACGAAAATTCGGGATAATTTGAGTGAACACGTTTCCAATGGGACCGTGTAAAAAGTATACAGTATTGGATCTTTAGAAGTATCATTACCTGCTGGCTTCGAAGGGTGTAGTACCAAGCTACTACCACATGCATAAGATTGATGCGAATGCAGGCTTGATCGCACCGTTCAACCTAATTTTCAATCTCCCTCCGGGGCCAGCGAACGGGTAACAACGGGTTTAGGAGCCGAACGGAACGGGTCCGGGAGGATAGAAATGCAGGGGACCGCCATTCAATGCTAGGCCACATACGAGCAGCGAGAATGACCAATGCCGAAAGATTTTGTCCTATGGTCTTTTACCACTGAATCATCGCTTCCTCCCGCCTCAGCTCAGCTTCAGAATTTTTCCAGAGTGAGCTTCGAACCTAAATACCGGCCCACGCACGAATTGTCTTGCGGTTGACCCTTCTTCAGCAGCCCACATACCCTCTTTCAGTTATGGCTGAGCAACGGAGCTAAGAAGCTCGGTAGCTTTGCCGCTAGCCCCTATTTCAATGGTCACTGTCTTGAAATCAGGCTACTACGCTCAAGCCAAGATGGTGTCGCTTCAGCTGTTATACAAGTTGCGTTAGCAATCTTGGTTCACTGTAGTACTATTGATACCTTTAAAGAGCTGTTCGCTGAGCTCATTTCAAGGAATGATGCGATTTTGCAGTGGTAGAACGTTTTTTTCTTGTCACAGGACAACTCGCACCAACCAGTCAGTTCCGAAACAGCTGTCTGTTTAACTATACTTTTTTAAACAATTAACACAGTGTAAGCAACGTAAGCACCCCCAAACTCATCTCCTTCTCCACTCCACTCTGCCACGGGAAGTCGATCCTCTCGTTATGGTTTGCTGCGGCACACCTTCAGAACTGTTCCTCTCTCCTGCCGGTGCTGACATCTATTAGACAAATTTTGGAGTCGTGCAGAGGGCTTCTCCGTTCTTCTCCCTAGGAGGATATGAGTATGGAGTCACTAGTATCTGCATGACATAGTACCCGGTAACTGTTTCTTCGGGGATCACTTCCATCTGACTGGCTGATTCTGAGCTACTCTTGATCTTATCTGACGTACTCATCCGGCTATGAGTACAATGAGAGCATGGATCCTCATTTAAAGCTGTTGGTTGAGAAGTTCCCAGTTCTTGTGCTCCGGAATCACAAATGGAAATAACAGGAAGCACCGACCACCGACCACTGACGTGCTCTAATGCCACGACTTGAAGGGTCGCAATCACGCGCGCGCAGGCAGGTCCCGGGCGGAATGAGAACCGTGGCTGCTGTGCTGCAAGGCTCACTTTCTTTTACTTTTCCTAAATTTCTCTTATATGTGCCTAATTCATAGATTTCGCGAGTTTCGAAGATCCTTGCATATCCACTACGGCTTGGAGAGATAAATCTGACCCGTACCTGCGCTATATATCGTTCCATTTCTACGTTTTGGCAACAGATTATGGAGTTCCAATCGAGCTATGTGAAAGAAGGCTTCAAGTTCCTTCTTATTTTCGTCCTAATCACATTCAACATTAGGAGAGAATCGATGTTAAGTATCTCAATTGTCATTCATTTGAGATTGGATCGATCGGAACATCATTTTTCTTTTTTATTATGATTTTTTGAAGGACTTGTTTCGCTTAGTATCGATGTTTGAATGTTAGTTCAACTTTCAATTCATTCGAAGTTTAAGTCACTTGTCATTCGACGTCTCGTTCATATTACTTATTGGTATACCTTTTATTGCTTCGATACCTCGTTACGCTCCATTCCTATCCGCGTTGCTTTGAAGAAGAGATGAGCTGGTATAAGTCTATTTTTTATAGCTCTGATTCCTCGTTCCAGTATAGAGCCTTCTTACATATGAATGTATCATAGAGTGAAATTGGTATGTTTAGAACATGGGTGCCTATAAGTACATGCAAGAAATATGGCGCAAAAAGCAGTCCGACGTAATGCGCTACATTCTTCGTATTCGTACCTGGCAATACAGGCAGCTCTCGGCAGTCCACCGAGTTAGCCGTCCCACTCGACCGGAGAAAGCTCGTCGTATGGGATACAGAGCTAAGCAGGGTAGGAGTTTTATTAGATTCTATTTGTCCTCACCACTGTGTTTGTCCTATTTTTCTAACCAACTTTGACTACCTTCCCTTAGTGTATTTATGCTTGAACATATCTTGTGTTCTAGCTCTTCCCTTCTATTCTTGAAATTAGAGTGAGGTAGTGTTTGCAATGGTTACATTTATGCACCTTATCATGATGTTAGACATTTTTTTTCTCAACAGGAAGGAAAACTATTTTTTTTCTTTTCTACATCTACTTAATTCAAATTAGTCACTATCAGCATTTTTATTAAGGATACGTTATCTACCGTGTCCGTGTTCGCCGCGGTAACCGTAAGCGTCCAGTCACCAAGGGACAGACCTACGGAAAACCAAAAACCCACGGAGTGAACGAAATCAAATTTGCCCGTTCCAAGCAGGCAATCGCTGAGGTATAAGACTCTTTCTTTCTTTTTTTCTTCTTCGTTGCAATTTCACTAGAGTTATTCTACGAAGAAATTGTAACCATGTGTTATGGAAGCTTTTTTATTCATGTCGATGAATCAGGCATTAGTGTGTAAGGCTAGCAGTGAAGTGAAATCTACTTCAATTTGCCGTTGTGAATTCATGAATCTGTTGCATTCCGTGAACTCGACATTCGCTGCTTTACTTACCCTTTTCTCTTCGCTTAAAAGTGAAGTTTTACTGGGTAGTCGAGTCGAGGCTAAGTTATGAATATAATGGAAAACTTAAAGTAAAACCCATTCCGTTTTTGATTTTTTATTTGTTCCGATAATTCTAAATTGTCGTTACAGCCTTGCTACTTTTAGTGGTTCCAAACTTAGTGCTCTCTATTTCCGAGATAGTTTGCGTAACTTTTGGTGTCAGTTCGATATCGGTAATCTGTTGTGGAGGGTTAGCGTAGATGTTTATAGTTTTCAAACCCTCTGTTTACTATCCTCCTCCAGTTTTGGTACTGTTNCACTTATTCTTTTTGTTTTTAGACAGATTTTAGCTTCAAATATTCCGACGTAGCTCAAGCATAGAGAATTGAACGTGTGTTGCAGGATCGTGCTGGTCGTCGGCTCGGCGCCCTACGAGTATTGAATTCATACTGGGTAGGAGAAGATTCCACATACAAGTTCTACGAGGTGATTATGGTCGATCCCTTCCACAAGGCCATCAGACGCAATCCAGATACTCAATGGATCACGAAGCCCGTTCAAAAGCATCGCGAACTTCGTGGACTCACTTCGGCAGGAAAGAAATCGCGAGGTCTTGGCAAGGGATGGCGGTACGCTGCCACTCGTGGAGGTTCGCAAGCGAAGAACTGGAAGAGAAAGAACACAACAGTCTTCCACAGATTCCGTTAAATTTATCCTATTGGCTTGTTATTTTTGGTTCGTTGATTGTTATGCCACATGCCGGAATAACAAGATTGTTCATATTTGAAGTGTGCTTTATAATAAGGAGTTGGAGTATACTGTTCGTACCTTTTGAAAAAGAAAAAAAAACAGTGTGCAATAAGGGCTTTCAGTGGAAAGAAATTTCTGCATGCTTCGCTCTCTGAGAGTTATGTGTACATCACCAACTAGTGAGGGACCAGTAGCAACAGTAATACGCAGGAAATTGGAGGAGATGTTTTCGGTTAGCTTTCTAGCATTATTTGAATTTTGTTTCTCGTCGTCCACTGCATGTAACTAGATTTCTGCCGTTGAAGTACTCAATGGCATAAGTCTGGTTCAATAGTTACTTCGGGTTATCGAAAACTAATGAGTATGTTTTCGTGTAGGAAATTTTCGTTCATGTTGAGAAGAAAACGGCAAAACTGCTGAAACATGGCCGAACAATACTGGTAACGAATTACTTGGCACCTAGTTCCATGGAGCAACAATATCTTTCATCTAGCTCCCGCTACCGCCTCATAATATCACTGTAGTGGTTGTTCGAGTTACGCTGTCCTACCTTTCTCATAGAAGGGAAATGGACTGGGTCCCTGCACGCTTATGCTTTACTTTTTGTCAGACGATCAGAGAAATGGTCTACCTTGGCTTGAAAGAAATGTGTTGCTTTGAATCATGGAGTTCGTTTGCAGCCGTCACATCTTGAAATCGTTTGTGAAAGCCACATGCACAATGTACCTAAGGGATCTGAGAAGCATTTCCGTGTTCAGATTGTCAGTGAGAAGTTCGAAGGATGTCCTATCATTCAGGTAACAATTTGAAATCATCTTGTCTAAAGCGCTGTGCTAGCTATTACCCATGTCTTGTCAAAACTACTTGAGATTTGTTTTTAAGCCAGCTTTACCGTAATTACATACCTCTGCGGGATTCCAATACGTAGCTTCCTTTTGACCTTTGAGTTAGCCTTGAGGCAGGGTTCGAAAAAAGGGATGAGAGTAGAATTTTACTGTCTACTTCCTTTTTCTTTTGGTCGTTTTGCTCCCTGTATTATTTTACAAGTTTTCCTGCTGACTAACCCCTTCAAGAATGGGCAGCTTTGTTTTTGACATGAATAAGATTTTTTTTCAACAAATTTTCAACAATGAAGTGTACCAGGAAAATATTGTATCTCGAGTGCATGTTGGTTCTATGCGTAGTTCAGCCGGTTTTCTATATCACGGTTATTTGTCTTCATTCTGCGTTCATTTTCGATTGATCGTTTAAGAGGCATCGCATGGTGAATTCCTGCCTGTCTGATGAATTGGCTGGCCCAGTGCACGCTTTGAGGATTGATGCGATTCCGCCGAGCAAATGGGTGGGTCAGAAACCACATCCAAGCCCAGCATGTCGAGGTGGTAACGCGTTATGACGTTAAAAGAGTTATTATTTATGTTCAGTGTTCAAATTAGATGTATTATAAATCGTTTCCATGTGTACATACTAAGCCAGCAATGTAGTAAACATATTTAAAGGGCACTCTGTACTCATATAAGCTGTGATCAAGTGTATTTCACACCGATATCTGGATTGTTGCTATTATATTTAACAGTGCGCTTGCTTACATGCAATTTGCCGAGGATTTCTGTTTATGTCGGTACGTGCCTGAACGCCATCTCACTGCAAATATGACTGGGTACGCAACTCAACTGTTATGCAACAACTCGTCGATGAAGCTATTTTACGCTAGCATATGCTTTGTTTTAAGCGATAATGCAGCGAAAACATTTTGTTCAGGCTGGCTCATTACAATTATCTTGGCTAGTCACGCGAACCATTTCACGTTGATCTTTCCACATATGTTCCTAACCCATCAAATATGGACAATTACTTATCGTTAGGTAAACTAAACTGTAGTTACTACTCAAGATAATATGTGAGAGAGGGAAATGAATTATCATACTACGCCGATAATCTAGACTTGTATTTTATCAGTTACAAGAGAGCCGTTGCACGCAATAGCGTTTCGGCTTGTGCATATGTAGTGTTTGAAGACACATGCACTTGATTACTTCTTCAACAGTAAAACCGTTTAATTTTTTATCTGTTTTTGTTCTCTTTACCACTTCTAAAAAGAGCAGATCGAGCTCTCCTTTTCTACATTCTTCTCTCTTCTTTTCCTAAATCAATTTCTCTTCTCACTTGAGCTTTTTTGAGGTAAGTCGTGTTATTGGCTTGGATTCTTAGTTATTAATCAGCTGATCACGAGTAATAAATTTAGCTTTTTCTGCATGAAGGTTCTAGAAGCAAGACATACTGCTTAATCACATGCGAAGTATTACATTCATTAAATAGCTTTTTTGGTCAAATGTACGAGCTTTGCTTCGAAATGAGCTTTTCAGATAGGAAGTGCAACGCTTTTCTAGAATGTTCCACTATTTCTTCTAATGAACTATTCGGAGGTCTAAATTTACCATGAATCAATGTTGGCCAAAGATAACTAACTGTTTCTTCTGCGTCTACTAAGTTATGTCAGAGAGCAGTCGGAACGGTGTTCTTGCCAAAGCACGTGAACATGTATTCATTCAGTCGATTATTCCCTCTTCCCCAAATGATTTTTAATGCAATAAAAAGAGATTGTATGAATGAACCAGCTGGACAGTTTAACAGTTAGCCTAAAAACTGAGAAGCAAAGCTGAATTCCGCCGAAACGGTTTTGTACTTTGATGGGTTTACCAGTGTTCTGTGGAATAAAGCTTTGAAACGATATTTTCTTCTGCCCGGTGCAAGTTCCTTCGGATGTTTCTTCTTTCTGTTTTCATGACAGCATGATTGGTAGGTCTATTGATTTGTCTTACTGAGTCAATTGACTGGGGAAGTTTATAGGGAAGTTCCAGAACGTGTGAAAGACTCACTCAACAAACAATTGGTTGTTTTTAATTACTTACTTTCCAGAAGCGTTGTTTCTATGATTTGCAGGAGGTAATCGACAAGTATGGCATAATAACGCTGTTGATTCACGTGAATTTTTTTTCAACGGGTTTCCAAGTTGTCTTCGTCGTAGTAAGGCATTTTATGTAGTTCGAAATGAGTGATTGTAAAGTACCTATGTGCACGTGATCAAGGACATCGGCAATTGTACAACTTCAACTATTTCTTGCTCTCACGTCACTATCAGCGAAGTTCTCACGTGTTCGGCTGTTTCGAAATGGGGCGCGGCAGAGCAGGAGGGAGCTTGCATCATTCCTGATCATTCGTCAATTGTTGACGGCAGTAGGGGTCGGTTTGCCTCTAGACTGTTCTTGTGATTTTTTCGTTAACATCAGACGTTTCGTTTCATCCTATTTATAACGTTTCCGTGTCAACACCACTTGCTTAGTGATAAAATCAACGACAATGGGGTAGTAGTTCACGTCAATGAGTTTTTCCCCTTCTGTGTCTTTCCTCATGAATCCATTTTCTCGAATCGGGTCTTTTTTTGTACCTGAGAAAGATGTCTTATGGCCTTTGTTGTGAATGTGGCTGAGCTTGCTCTAAGATTTTCCAGGTTTTTAAGATTTTCGTATGCTGAACCTTGTGATCGATATCGATCGTATTTTCATCATCCAATTACGTAAGGTAGACTTGCTTGTATTTTTGATAGTCTATGCAAATATTGCAGTGTTGTATTGAACAGTTACTCGGTCTGGGAATCAGTTCGTCATCAAATTCGGCGAAAACTCGAACTTGCAGCATAGCGAGAAACCATTACACAATTAAAGCAGCCCTAAAGTGTTTAATGGTCATTTAGATTTCATCTTAGCTTTTTGCATAGATCATATATAAAAATGAGATCTTATTTTGTTCGGTCGGTATCTATTCTTCATTGGGTGTGCGGATAAAACGATTCGTTTTCATGGGTGTTTATGTTGGTCTGCGTTTTTCTTTCTCGCGTTTCGCAATCTTCTTTTGTATCAGATATTATCATTATCTATTTACCCTCTGTTACAGAAAGGTAATAGTTTCATTTTGTCTACTCATTACCTGAAAATGCTCTCACGATTTGCACTTCGACCCTCACTCTGTCTTTCGCCGAGTGTTCGCCAGTTCTCCAAGACGATTTTCAACAATGCACGTATGGGACGCGGTAGCACTGGCATTCATCGATTCGGTGAAAGTGTTGTAAGTTATTATTTTCTACATAGTTTGCCTATAAGGTAAGAAACGTGCTCGAGACTTACTTTCTTTGTAGGGAATAGGTGTGCGCCCCGGAAAAACCTTGAAGGAACGACTGCTTGGTCCGACCACTGGAGCCCGTGAGTGTCATGTTGGCTGGTTTCATTATTTGATCCTGAATGAAGTGGAATAACTCTGTTCCAGCATATATTTATGGATCATATGCACTGGCAGGAGCTTCTGTGTTCGGCGTGGGAGCGTTGATGTATTATGGATTAGTTTCTAAGGAACAATCGATTCTTCAATCAAGCGCGTAAGTGTTCAATTCGAAATAACACACTGTAAATCCTTTTCTTCAAACTAGAGAGGAGGGGTACTACATTTGCTTCAAAGAGCAACCCTCATAATAGATGTAGCTGTTTTAATCATTACCACGCCGGTGCACCAGTGGATTGGAATTCTTCGTTTGGCGAGCTGTTCCGGGGAACCCCTGTGAAACTTTCTTGAAAATTGTTTATTAAGTTCCTCAGATTGGCGATTTATGGGCAGAACTTCGGCCTTGACGGTACTGTTTCTCGGTTGGGTCACACCTCCCACTCTTGACTCTCACATAGCCGAGAGATGCTTAGGCTACTCATGTCTTTGAATGGATGTACGCTTCTACTGGGATTTTTTTACGTTTCCGCTTGTCGAAGCAATGATAATGTTAGCAAGAATAGTAGCGAAAAGATAGAGCCATCGATGATGTGCAGTTGCTTCCGGTTACACCGTTGTTCTATCTTATTTGAAGTCATTCGCGTCCAGTTTTTTTTTTCCTATTCTTTATTTATTTATTTTTTATTTATTTATTTATGCTCTCGTAGGTGCGCTTATTACAGAACTTCACTAGTTAGGAACCTAGGTAGGTAACCTAGGTACTTATTTTGCTCTAAGTTCAGACTCTGGCCAGCTTATGTTCGCGAACGACTCTCATCAACGTACTCGTACTTGGCAGGCAGTTTGGCAGTGACAGCAGCTAGTGGAGTTGCAGCCTCGCGTAATGCAGCTATCATGCGTCTCACTCAAACTGGAGGGATCATGGTTAGTTGGGCGCACAATATATACGTTTTACATCTGTTCGTCTTTTTGTTTCAGACTTCTTTCAATTACATGCAGTACATCTTCGTTCCTAGGTTTTAAATCGTGGTATTCTTGCTCTTAGTAAGATGTCCTCGACTTTAATCATCCTTATGGGAAGCACTGTTTTGATTCCTAAATTTTATGCAGAACACCTTCTTCTATCTTTAAAAACCATGTTTCGATCTAGAAGTGTTTCGAAAACTTCTGATCCAATTTATTCATCTCTTTTTCCAGGGCCTCTTCGCCACCTTGGCGGTTATCATTGGGACCGGAATGCTCTGTCGTGCAATTGACTACGACAGCACAGTTGCCAAGCATATGGCGTGGATGCTCCATTGCGGTATGCATTTTTGCCATGTTATGTTTTGCCACTGTATTATGAGCTACTTTTGTAATGTGATTTTATTTTTTTTCAGGTGCTATGGGTGCTGTACTTGCGCCCCTAGTCTACATGGGTGGACCCGTGTTGATGAGAGCGGCATGGTACACTGCTGGCATTGTTGGTGGTAAGTTTAAGGTTCTCGATTTGAGTGTTTTGAACTAATGATGAACTAATTGAACTTCCTACAGTGGTGTCTCAACTTGCCTCGATTAGAAGATTGAGTGCACATTAACTTTCTGATATGGAAGCCTTTGTATCAAGTATTTGTAGGTCTCTCTGCGACTGCCATCACTGCGCCATCTGAGAAATTCTTGATGATGTCGGGCCCCCTCGCCATGGGGTTAGGAGTCGTTTTTGTCGCCAACATTGGAACGTTCTTCTTTCACCCTGGCACTGCTCTCGGAGCTGGTTCGTTCTACTCTATTCTACTTTTTATTCCTTCCTGGAATCCTACGGTCATGCTTTTTGTGTTTCTCTCGTAGTTAGAGCTAACTTTTCTGTGTCTGTGTATCACTGTTAAAAATACATGTGTTTAAGGATTAATGTCGATCGTGATGTACGGTGGCCTGATTCTGTTCTCTGCATTTTTATTACACGATACACAACGAGTTGTTAAACACGCTCAAATCTATCCACGTCGCGAAGATGCAATGATGTACGGAATGCCAATGACTAATGCCATCAAGAGCTATGATCCCATCAATGCGTATGTTCACTTTGATCAGTTTGTTTTACTGACTTTATCAGAAGTTATGAGAATGTTTAGAAATGTTTTTTTTACTCAAGCATTCGCTAAATGGCTCGAGTTTAAGTTTGTATGTTTAAGTGCCACTTTAACTTCTACATTTGTTTTGTTGTAATGTTGGGACACCGATGTTTCAAGGATGATGAGGAATGTCTTTTGCATTTTCAGGCAACTGTCGATCTACTTGGACGTCCTCAACATCTTCATTCGAATGGCGATGATTATGGGTGGAATGAGTGGAAATCGAAGAAAGTGAAGAAATTGAGATGCAGTCCTGAAAGACGAAAAACGAAAAATTTAATTAATGATTAGAAAGGTTAGTACTCGTCTCCGAGTTTGTGATCTGGTCTGCTAATGTATAAATTGTGAATAAAGAGGCTATTAAACAGTGTTTCCTTTGTTTAAATTGGTTTCGTCGACATACCTGTCACGGTAGTTGAAGTGACATTATGAAAATTTTTGTGATCGTATGTGGTGACTAGTACTCTCTCCAGTATTACTTCCGTTTCACCTTTTTGATGGTTCTATGAAGTTTTGACTCCTCAATGTGATCCTCACCATAGTTCAAGGCTTTGCTTCCTTCCAGTGGATTAGTTTGCCAGAGCAAGAATTCCAAATGAATGAAATATTCACCTAATGTGGAACTTTTAAATGGGAGGAGTACCAGTCATCCTCGTTGCAGTAATGTGTAGAAAATCATGACATTTTCGATATTTCCTGCGTAACCCAACGGTAAAACCTAACACCCGGAAGGTGGAATCGAACCACTGCGGCTGCTAACCGCCTACAGGTTTGAAGCCTGCACCCCGGACCACCGAAGATCATCCGGGCGGCGGGAGAGTAGTCACACTCCCATATAATAGCGCAGACGATTCTGCTCCGTATCGGACGCTGCTACCTCGTTAGTTTAACGTGCGAATTAATGAGTTTCTCATTCATCGAATGAAATCTCAAGCTGTAATAAACAAAAACGGTTCAATTCAGTGTCCTGGAATTACCAATTTTTGCGGTTCAGACATTTTTTCGATAATTAAGTTGAAAGGAACCGAAGAAGCAACGATATGATAAGTTGCATACTGCTTCCGATTCGGCGTAGATGAAGGTCGCAGCCGACTGCCGAGATGCTCATTTCGCCTAGATACAAAGGTGAGCCGGACCAAAGTCTCTGTTCTATTCATTTATGGTTTCAGTGAATTTTAATTCGAAACTCTGCTTATGCTTTTAATCGACGTATGTTTTGTCCTCTCCTTGACTCATTCTTACCCTGGTACCCCCTAAGTTCTAGTTCAACTGGGTAAATCTGTAGACACCCATTGTTGTTACGCCTTTGGCAGAGGTCAGATTTCCCATCGAACTTTGACCGGCCCTCACCCTTCCATGGATCGATCGTAGCCGGGGCACGGTCGACATGGACGATGGACTTTGTTCCCGTCCTACGATTCTGGATTTTTCTTCTTTTCTTCCTACCTTAACTTTAGCTTTTCACTTTGAATAACTGTTTGTTGTTTCAACTTTAGAGAGCCCTCCATCCATTCCACCATGTTGCCACTATGTAGGTATACACATCTTGGACAGTATTTCGGTACTCTCCTGGTTATGTGGGTTCATTATGTTGAATCGCTCTGCTTCTGCAACCCTTCCTCTACCTTGATATTTTCTGTATACTTCCTCCCTTGCTCATTTTACTTAATCTACTGAGTCGAAACAATATCAAAAAAATTGATCATTATAATCGTCATCATCGTTGTCATCTTCTTCCTTTTCTTTGACGTTCATCCAACTTAGTAGCGAGGTAGAAGGCCAAATACTCCCAATAACTATTGTAAGGTGTCAAGAATGCTTTGGTTTTCCTTTAGGCTGTTTTCCGGCCATTTGGCCATTTAGAGTTGGAGTCCGGTTTTACAGACAGATCTTTTTAGCCGCGCGTAGGACGTGACCGTACCACCAATGACGAGCTTCGCGCATTTTAACTTCAGTAGAGGCTACTCCGAAGCGCTCCCTCATTGCATCGTTGCGACGAATAGGGGCCAAACGTGTGGCTCCAGCCGTCTGACGCAGCATTTTCGTTACCATAGGAATTCGGCGCCTCTCGTAGCAAGCGATTGCTCGAAGTTGGTCTCTCGTTGTTTGCTACATAGTTTGCACTATTGCAACACTCTGAAAACCTATTCGAACATTACTGGCAGTATCTCTGAGATTGTTCTGAAATGGAGTGAAGGCACGAAAGCAGAATAGGTTCTCGTCGAAAAACTTCACGACAATACTTATAGGTCTGGGTCTCAGAGCTTTTGCTTCAGGCTAATATCTTATTATTAATATAATGCTTATTTCTTTTGTAGTTGTTTGCCAGGAAAGTTTTTTAAAGGTATCCTTACATGGAAGCTTTCTTATGTGCAATTCTATGCAACTGTTTCTGCGAATTTTTGAGACATCACTTGTCAGAATGATTTTCACTCTTTCTCAATTTTTTACTATTCCCCTCTCAATGTTTTGAAACTCAGCTCGTCATTATTTGCACAGGAAAGTTTTCCAAAGGTATCCTTACATGGAATCCTTTTGATTCCATGTAGGATTCCATTCTATGCGATTGCTTCTAAGAATTTTTGAGACATTTGTTAGAATATTTTCCAATCTTTCTCTCTCAATTTTTTGAAAAGCCACTCGACATTTTTATGACCTCGCCTAATACAAATTCTACGTATGCAGAAAAGTTTTTAGTTCCAATTTATGAGGGTAGAATTTCAGGCTCAAAAAATGACAACAGCCATGAAGAGACCCAAGTACCGTGAACTGGGAGGAATTCAAGACTTATAAAAACAAAAACAAAAAGGAAGAACAAACAAGATTTGATGGCCATGTCTTGATCCACTTTTTGAGTGGTTGGTTTAAAGAGTTTCTCGAGTAGGAGTGGCCCAGGGTGACACCACGATGATTTTTCGTTATTCAGGCCCGAAAGAAACCGATTACGATTGCCAACAGACGAACAATTCTGAGCGCAACGGATAATCCTGAGACGGAAACTCTAGGCCAAGCCGGATTTTTTTTAGATTTGTATAGGCTGCTTTCACAATTTGGTCTATTCGATCTCGAAATTTCACGCGATCTGAAGACGCAAGAGTGATATTTGGCCAAGTTTTTTTTTTTCAAATGAGACGGGATGGGCGGAAATGCGAAAGCAGCCTTGGTTCTGTTTGA